GCAAGCTTTTTACAGTGAAGCTGTAAAGGCTAATATCTTATTGCTTATAATTAGCTAATCGAGCTTATATTCTGAGCTACTGCAAAATTAGCAAAAACATTCTGCTATTTTAGGCAATTCTGTGTGTCTGTGTGTGTGTGTGTGTGTGCATGTGTGGGGGTGTGGGGGTGTGGGGGTGTTTCGACTTGAGTCAACCAGGCTAAGCTAACTGAAAGCACATGAATTGAATGACAGTGATTATTCTTCATTGGTTTTGAACGAAACACGTTTTGTATCAACTACTACTTTCATCGATGTCTCGGCTTCATTTTGCTAACGTCAATTGGTCGCCTATAAAGAAATCTATACGTCCCGTCTTGTCATCATACATTGCTGTTTTGTAGGACAACTGATTTTGTACCGTTCTGGCTAAGTGAGGTTCAGCAGTGGTACACGGTATTACAGGGTATTACAGCGTATTACCGGGTATTACAGCGTATTACCGGGTATTACAGCGTATTACCGGGTATTACTGCGTATTACCGGGTATTACTGCGTATTACAGGGTATTACTGCGTATTACAAGGTATTACCGGGTATTACTCAGTATTACAGGGTATTACAGTCATCGTGTACAGGGTATTACTGAAGTGAATACCCCCTCGCACAGCCTGGAGCATCTGACCGCCATGGGAACGCCGCCGGGCCGCTAACGGCGCCATGCGACCAACAGGTAGTGGAACAGCCATCACCTTGTAGGAGACAAGCCCGCGGCCGCGAGGCAAGCTGGAAATCGCGGTGGAGAGAGATATATCTCTGGAAAGACTGGTGTGACAGAAGAAGGGAAGGCAGCTCCGGCCAGCGCTCGTTGCTGACCTCTGTGCCGGCCCCCCTCTGCTGTGCCTCCTGACCCTGCGGGCCTGGCGGGCAGCCCCCCAGGAGGGCGGCCCCTAGGGGTGCAGCCGGCGCTCCCACGGGACGGGAGGCCAGAGCAGCGGAGTGGAGGGTAGGGCAGGGCAGGCCGCTGTGGACAACAAACACCACACGGCTACCTGCGAACACCGCGCACCACAGTCCATGGACCTGTGTGGGCGGGGCGGGGCGGGGCGGGGGGCTCTGCAGCTCCAACCGCACCACGCCACGCCACGCGGGGCGGGGCGCGCGCTATGGGCCCAGTGAGTGTGCGGTAATACGATTATACGCCGGTTGCCAGCACTCCCACACGGTCACACAGCGGCGCGGCGCGGGGAGGAAGGGAGGGAAGGGGAAGGGGGCAGTGGGGTATGTATTATTCCTAACCCAGCACATTTGCCACGTTTGCAAAATCGACGCGCGCGGAAAGTCAGGGTGGCGCTTGGCGCCCCGCCCCCGTGTCTGTTTGGGGGGTGCGCCGCCCGCGCCTCCGCGCCGATGCGCTGCGCCGCTGCAGCTCACGCGACCCGGACAAAAGTTTTCACTGAAAACGTATCCAAATAATAGCCGGAACAAAACTTGTGCGGGCCGCGTGGCGGCGTGGTGTTCTCGGGGTGTTCTTTGGAACGCCACGATGACTGTTTGCTTGTATTTATCCCTCGCGCGCGCGATATTGAAACCGAAAAAGTTTTGGCGCGCCGGCGGCCCGCAGGGAGACCAGGAGGGCGAGGTCGAGGGCGCGGGCCACACGGGACGCGCACCAACCAACCAACCAGGCGCGGCCACTTTTATTTTGAAACCAAAGAGAACAGAATGTTTTATTGTTGTTATATTGTTTCGCGTTTCGTTTGGCTAAAACAAGTGGTGCGACGCGCAGACCGCAAATGACCACAACAGTGTGGCTTGCCCTCTCCTCCTATACACCTACATGTGGCCGCCCAACGGAGAGCGCGGCGCCCTTTGTGTGTGCGCGTTTGAATTGCGCTTCATGCAAGGGGGTAACAACTGCGAACTTTCATATGTCCACACTACTCCCCTCGCTACCTCCCTGTTACGCTGTACGACGGTTCTTGCTCCCAACCATTTTAGAACATATTTTACTTTTTTCCGTTTTACATCACGCGTTATTCGCGGCGTTTTTCAGAAAATCGTCATTTTTTGGGGCTATCTTACCGAGAAATGAGGGTCATAACCACATTTGTTTGAGGGACTACCCCAAAATCTGAGGAGTTTTTCTCAAATGATGTAAGTGCCTCAAAGTTTATCCCTTCTACTTGAAGAAATGAGACATTGTTTCATCCGTATAATGCGTGAGAGTTGTACCATCAGGTTTACAGACTATATTACGCGATTCTCGAGAGTTTGCGTTCCATTTTTCTAGGATGTATCAACAGTTAAATAATTAACGCGCTGTGCACTAATGGCACCGATCGCGCCGGGGACGGCCGGGCTCTGTATGGGGCAACACTTTCTTCTCTCCCGCGTGACGCACTCGCTCGCCGGCCCATTGTGTGATACACATACTCCAACGCGAGCGAGGACGCCCGTCGCGCGGCCCGCGGTGCGTCTTGCCGGAGGGGCGGGGGCGGGGCTGAGCGATGGAGTATAAATACTCGGGGAGAGGTTCGATGGCGTATCATTTTGGTGGCCCGACCCTTCCAAGCAACACCAGCAGCAGCAGCAGCAGCAGCAAGGACCGTCACCCTCGCAGTCCTCCTGAACCTGCCAGCGCCGAAGAACACCATGGCCAGGACGATCCTGACGGTAAGGTGTACATTGCGTCACAAACGTAGTCCCTCCTCTATCTCTCTCTCTCACCCTCTCCCTTCGCAATAAGACATAAGACCTGTACCTTCACCATAACGTGGCACTTATGCGGCTTCTTCAGGCACTGTTGCTTGTGGCGGCGATCGGCGCGGCGTTGGCGCGGCCCGAGCCACCAAGCGGCGCCTCGTACCCCTACCCCCGCGACGACCCTCAGCAGCGGCGGCCACACCGCCCACAGCAGCACCACCAGCACCACGGCCAGGACGGCGACGAGCAGCCCGCCGAGCAGTACGGCGCGCCGCCCAGAGGCATGACGACGTACAGGTCGAGCCCGATCGGCTCTCAGCAACAGCGACCTGGGGCGAGCAACGGCAGGTGAGCGAGCAAAAGTACTTTTAATGTTTGTGAGCTGTGTAGAGAGGTTTTAAAAGAATCAAGGACAGGGGTCTCAGACACGCGGCCCGCGGGCCGCAAGGGCCGCACTGGAGACAGATGGAGCTATGTGATCGCAGTGAGTGCGAGTGAGAGGTCCGACTCGTGCGGCTCGCGTGACGTCACAGTCTGAGACCCCTGATCAAGGAGGTGTGTGAACGAAAGGAACAGAACGCCGGGTAGTTAGGCAATCCATTGTGCAGTCACAGCGGAGCTGAGCGGGAGGCCTACCCTTTGGTCAGCAGGGGTCCGCCCAGACGTGTTGGTGTGCTTTTGGATGGTTACCGGTTTCGTTGTAGAGACATTATAGGCGGATTCACCCGGGGATTCGTTTCTCCTTGCTCCTAATAATCCACTCTGCCCCGCCCACAGGTATCTCCCTCCCGCAGGAGTCAGCGGTGGCGGCGCTCCTCGCGGCCGTTCTGGCCCCTCCCCGTCGGGCCGCCAGCAGAAACCTGGTCGCCACGGCCAGCAGGGCTCCTACGGTCAACGGGCTTCACAGGGACCTGTCTCAGGACGCGGCCAGTTCGGCGGACAAGCGGCCGGCCTCTACGGCATGGCGAGGATGGACTACCACGACGAGGATCACCATCACGCCGCCGGCAACAGCCTCGGTTCCGGGGCCACCTCCTCCGCTGGATATGAATCGGGCGCCAACGGCCCCTCTGGATATGAATCGGGCACCAACGGTCCCTCTGGATATGAATCGAGCGCCAACGGTCCCTCTGGATATGAATCGGGTGCCAACGGCCCCTCTGGATATGAATCGGGCGCCAATGGTCCCTCTGGATATGAATCAGGCGCCAACGGTCTCTCTGGATATGAATCGAGTGCCAACGGCCACTCTGGATCTGGATATAAAACTGGTGCCAACGGTCAGTTTGGATCCGGATACGATTCAGGCGCTAACCGTCACTCCGGAGGTGGATACGAATCGGGGGCCGGCAGTCAGTCAGTCTCTGGCTATGGGTCGGGCGCCAACGGCTACCCTCGATCTGGATATAAATCGGGAACCAACGGTCACCACTCGGGTTCTGGATCCAACTCCAACGGTTACGGATCGGGGCAGTTTAGGTCCGGCAATGGTCATGGCCAGAGCCAAGGTCACGAAAAGCAGGGTCTCGGCCACGCCCAGGGCCACGGCCAGCAGACCCGCGGTCAGGGTGCTTTCCGCGGTCAGTCACGCCAGGCTGCCCCCCGCGACATGTACGGCCCTCCCAACGGCTACCCGGTGGCCTTCGGCAACCACGGCAACCAGGATGACGACGACATGTCGGTGAGTCCCCTGCGTTTCATTTCTTGTTCATTGTGATGCTCAACACATTTTTATGACAACCGGTGCCTTCGTCACTTCAGGAGGACGCCATGTACCAGTTCGAGTACAGCGTGGGCGACGACCAGCAGCAGCAGCAGCAGGGCAGCCACCGCGGACAGCAGGACGACGACAGCGACGTGCCCCAGTTCGGCCAGCACGAGGAGCGCGACGGCGAGCTGACCCGCGGCAGCTACCACGTCCTGCTCCCGGACGGCCGCCTGCAGCGCGTCGACTACGAGGCCGACGAGCGCGGCTTCCGACCCACCGTCAGCTTCGAGCAGCAGGACCCGAGCCAGCGAGGGGGAGCCGGCGGCGGACCTTACTAGGGGCCTAACTCACGCGCCCCGCCACGCCACGCCGCCCGCAGAACCAAGGAACTATTCGGGCGCACACATTCCTCACGGGGAGCATATCGTGCATGCCCCTCTGGTGAGGCGGGTCCAGTGAGGGGGAGGGGCGCCCTCGGGGGCGAGCATGGCGGCGCCCTGCTCAGCGTGCCCAGCACGTCAGCGGTGTGTGCGGGACGTGCGGGCCTGCCGCGGGGCGGGGCGCAGCGGGGCGCGGGGCATTCTTTGAGGCCCCCACGCCATGCCACACCGCGCCGCGCTCGCAGGCGCCTCCGCGGTCGCACAGGGCGCGCCTGCCTGCCTATGGTACCTCTCCCTCCTCCTGCCCTTCTCTGGAGGGGACCATAGTCGTCGTCGCCGCCGCTGCCGACGCGCCCGAGCGAACGTTGCGGTCGGATCACCCTGCACGACTTCATCTTCATCACCACCACCACCACTATCATGGTCATTGCCGTCGTGTGCAGCCACTGTAGTCGTAGTCATTTGTGTGTATGTGTGAGAATGAGTGTGTGTATCCCTGACCTTTATGTGTATCATAGTGTTTGATGATGCGTGCGTCTGGCTCGCCAAAAGCACGCTAATTTATTTTTCATTCGCTTTCTGATGGGGAGAGCCGTTCTCTCGTTCATCTCTTCATATCTCGACCCCCCATCTCGTATCTGCTAGAGAGAGAGAGACAGAGAGGGGGGGGGGGGATATAGAGATAGAGGGAGAGACGGGCAGTCTCGGTAGAAGAGCGACGATTATTTCCCCACCAGAGCAATAAAACTGCGCCCGTGCCGCGCTGCCGCATCGCATCGCCATTTCGTTCTTATTTACGTCCCTCCAGTCGTCCCGACCCAACGGCCGCTGCACCTCAGAGAGGGCCGCGTAAAGATCAATCGAGCTCGTGTGTGTTTACGCAAAAGACAAGAACGCAAGCGCAACACTCTAGTCTTCAAAAAAAAATCTACAGTATTAACTCTAGTAGTTGTACAAGCCGTTAATTCGAATGACAGGTTTAATCTGTGCAAGACGACTGTAGGCTGCAGTCCATCCTGCAGTTTGCAATGAATACAAATTCTTACCGTTAACAGTACAGCCCGGTATTTTACAATTTATCTGCATCGAAAACCACTCACAGTATAAAGAACCCACAGTACAGAAAGTCTCCATTTACCGCTTTATCGCTACTGTTTTATTGCAGGACTCTTCCCTTGATCACTTAAGTCATTCTACTTTGTTGGCGTGGCTTTGAGCAGTGGAGAGGCAGGCAGGGGCGGAGGTAGGCGGTCCCGGCAGACACGGGAGTGCGGTGGGTTGCCTATCGCCGGCTCGACGGGCGCTCCGTGGCGCTGCGCGAGAGTCGGTCAGTCCCCCTCGCGTCCTCGTCCTCCTCTCATGTCTTTCTCCATCTCCCCCACTTTCTCCTCCTCCGGGTCCTCCCGGGGTGCACGCCACCGCCAAGCGAAGAGGAGCAGAAGGTTAAACTTATATTGTTTCGCAAAGGAGATTTTTATTCCCCAGGCCGGAGCTGGGCCGTGCAGAACTCCGCTAAGATATGGTAGTGCGGGGGGCGGCGGCGCGCAATCCGGGCACACCAACTTCTTACTCGAGGGGGTCGCTGTACCTCCCCCTCCACACACACAATCACACACACACACACACACACACACACACACACACACACACACACGCTCACACACGCCGCTCTGGAGCGGCAGAGACAAGGCGCCCCGTTGTGTGTGTGGGAGGGGGGGGGGGAGGAGCGGAGAAATGCTGGAACAATGAAAAACTTGGCCGACTGACTCTGTCTGCACCATTTTTCATACGGGGCTGATTTATTCGATGCTAGAGAAGTCTTGGACGGCGAGCACCAGCAAAACGCGCGCGTCCTGGATGCCATACCAGCAGTTTCATGACGTGCGGGGCGTGGCGGGGCATGGTGCGGTGGGGCGGGCGGGGGTAGGCGGGGCCTGGCCAGAGCTGGGGAGAGGGAAAAGGAAACCGAAGAACTGACCCGCTCAGCCGCCGCCGTCCAGGTTCGCGCGCGTGTGATGATGCCAAGAAGATAAATTGGTGACATATCTCAAATGTTTCCCAGCCCCCGCGTTCGCT